GTTACTGTTTTAGAGATTTGTAACAGGCTAATTTTCAGTTTCTCCCGTAGACAAGCAAGATGAAGAGGTGATATTAAATCCTTATTTAGAGCTTTTGTTAAGGATGACATACGATTTAATAATTCCTATCAAAAGCAATAAAATATATATAACTGTTGGAATTATTATAAAGCTATTTAGGTATTGGATTAAATATTTTATTAAGGTCTAGATACCAATCGATGCAAGCAACTAGGCCGCATTTGTTGATATACTTTCAGTTCTTTCACAAATATTTGGGAAAATACTTATAAAGAAAGATTATAGGTCACCTAGCAAAGACTTACGTTGCCAATTTTTACGGCATCATGTAGTTGGGTAAAACTATCTGTATCTTTGGCATCTATGATGGCTCCATGATCAAGTAAGATCTGTGCTACTTCTAAGCTGTTGTATTTAGCAGCTATGTGAAGTGGCGTCTTTCCTTTACTGCTTTGAATATTGATATCTAACTGTCGTAAAACGACAACATTATAACTTATCAGAAAAATGTCTATCATTTAACTCTGAAAGGTATAGTAGATCAGTTCTCTGGCTTGTTTCTTTCTCTACACATCTAATAAACTAAACCACCTATAGATTAAAGCAGAAAAGAAATAGCTACGTTAGCTTTTAATATTTCATTTACTTGCAGTATCATTGATCATGAAGTTAACCATGTCGATTTCATTATACTGGGCTGCGTAATGTGACGGAGCGTATCCCTAATGATCAGTCCAGTTGTAATAATCTTTTTCATGATTAACCACTGCATTAAAGCGTTCCCTAAGCAATTCGATATCACTAGACCTAGCAGCCTGATGGAATTGAAATTAGTATATTAAAAAGTTAGGTTAAAATTGGTTTTTGTACGTACATTGCTATCTTTCATGCACAATTAGAATATCCTAGGAGGACTTAATAGGCCTGGCTTAATGTCTAGTCACAAAGTATGAAGATATTGTATTATTTTAATAGCAAATTCCGATCAAGCAGGTATATGCAGTTTATGTGGCTAATATTTGCTGGATATATCGTTAGGGTGTCATTAGAAAGATTTAGTCAACGTTGTTAAATGTCAAGTCACAAACTAAGGAGTGTACGCAAGCTAAAATATCGCCTCAGTTAGTGCAAACCATATTCATTAATTATAGCGCAGCTTTCTGGATTAAAAAATGATTGTAAGTTATTAAAATATAGTTGAGATTGAAGCAATATTACTTTTTCATTTTGAATCCATGCAAAAAGTTAGCTTACTGACTATGAGCAGTAAATGCTTATTAAAAAGTACATTGATGGTGTACCAGTTAGATTTAGAGGATGACTGAATGACTTGAATTTTATTGTAATGGTTCTTATAATTATAAATAATCAGTATACACATGCTGCCTATAATATTACTGTGAAAATTATGGTAACATAATTATTTACCATAGATAGAATGTTAGCTACATAAGGTAATTCCGATCTGATTTATCAGTCTAATTCTACTTCAGCGTTTGAATTGAGTCAATAAATTTTGGATTTAATACGTTATTATTCTTCATTTCTAACATTTAATTCGACTGAAATAGGAAGCCAAACTCTAATACATTCAAATTAAGTGACTTATTCTAAAAGACACGGAATAATGTGCATTGAAAGCGATAGGAAGTACTGTACCATTATATAACGATCATGATTGCATCTACACCATCTTTCTTAAAAAGCACAATTTTGGGCAGGAACAGGAAATCGAAAACCTAATCCGAACTAAGTTAACGTAAGCAAGGCTAGAAGATAGTAACTAGTTTCTAATGTAATTCAATGACAAAATCGTCTATCGAAGAGAACTTTTTCGCTAAATTTTAAATCGTTTCTCTTGCTTTATGACCTTGCTCGAAAAATATCATGAGAACTAAGCACTCTAGTTCCTCTCGTGATTTCATTTTGGCTTTTTTTACTTTCTAATTTCTGAGATCTATCAACGTATTCAAATTTCCGATTATTTGACAAGCATAATTATGTAATTGAAGGTTAAATGGAAAAAAATTGCAATCGGGCGATAAAATAATAAAATTATACCAGCAATCGCAACATCTCCGTTTTATTCCAGCTTTATTTACAATATTTTTTTAATATTATAAAGTTAAGCTGATTAACTATAAAATTTTTGCAATTAATGTACTTTTAATTTCATGGCAGCCAAGAAATGAACCGTCAGAACGTGTCAATATTCGAAATTCTCAGCTCAATAATTGAATCCAAATTTACGGAATGATGCACGAAGACAGTTTATATAGCCCTCTAAATTAATAGATAGCTAACTAATACACTGTAACAAGGCGGTAATTGATTTTAAATACTCTGCTAACTAATTACTAATAAATCTTTCATCCAAGAAGCTAGAGTCATATCACTTATGATAATTTAATCCAAATAGTACTTTATTGCAATTATTTTAGAGCTGAATGATTGGAAATGGTCATTAGTTTATCGATCCTGTCTCTTCGTCAACTTATTAATTTAGTACCGCAGTTCAGAAATAATCAAAAAGGCAGTAGAAATGCATAATTTATATTCGCATAGATTCGCCCATAGATAAGAACAAAAAATTGCAATAGCTGACAATGCTATTTGTTAATGATATTTCTTTTGTTTTCGATCAATGCATAAAATTAATTAATGATCTAATCATACTTTATACACTGACAAAGAACAAAAAACTAGATCTTGAACTAGAAATAACTGAAAAGCAGTTACAGTATGGTAGTCATATTTCGAGTAGTAAACTGTTGATATTATGAGCATCATAGGCCCATAACGAACTATACCTTGTTATAAGTTATGTTCTTGGCTTACTTTAAGGTATAAGTGGCAATTATAAAATTATAAGAACCAAAAATAACTGCAGGTTATCAAGGCACGTCACTCTTCATGTAGGCAGATTAATTAGAATTAGCTCGCAGTATAATGTACCATTTGATACAGAAATACCGCCTGTGGAAGGAAAGGATGAAATAGAATTCTTCTTATTCAATATCAATTTACACTAATTCATAGTGTCACTATACTACATTATTATTGCGGTGCTGAATAATAATATTCTTAATCTCTAGCTGTCCTTTATTTTTCAACCTACACTGCAACTGTTTAATTTATCCAGCTTAAAATTCCAATCTTTGCCGTTTTCATATTACACAACTTATTGCATCCCATACTTCAATTGTTATCCATCATGAGTGATACCACAGCAATGATTGTACCCAACTCTACCATTACATATATTAAATTATCTAGCATAAATCACCTAGCGTAAATAATATGCTTCTAAATTCTCTATTAGCAGCTATTGGTCAAGGATATTTGCTTGTGTATTGCGGTTGACTACATTTTATTCTGTATAAGTTTACTAGGCCATAATAAAGTTAGGCCTACGAACTGAAGATAAAATCTGCTTTTATTACAATATTTTAAAAGGTCCGTGTAAGCTAGTCTATAGTAGTAGAGCAGTAAAACCCGCGATACTATCTCTAAACTTCTACAATTCTATCACAAAATTATCAAAAAAATTCCTCCCTAATCTGACACACCCTTCCCTTTCCACTAACTACGGTTCCCTACAGCTTGTATTAGCGGAAATGGTAAAATCTCTCTTGTAATGCTGTAATCTATTTCAACAGCTAGAGCATATAAATGGAGACTACAAAAATAAATGACTGAAGGAATAGTACGTACTGTAACTTGCACTGGCTTAATTCGACATTGATCTAACTTATATTTGTAAGCCTAGGTTATATTTGCTAGGCGTAGATGATGATAAAAGCGAATAATTGCTATTTCTTTAAGATTTATCTTAGATAATTCGTCATATTGAGATCGTTGCATTTAAATGACGATGAAATTAATAACAGATGCGTATACCTGTTCTAGGAGCCTTATTATTTGTTTAAATCAGTACGTAGAGATTTATGTTAGTGATTTTAAGAAGGTAACGAGGAAAATACAGAATCAAAGACGTACAATAGCCAGACTGCACATTCTACAGCCATCTATGTTAATAGCTATATAGAAAACCGATTCTGAAAGCAAACGATCGAAGGGATGTTATATCTAGCCTATCGCTGCTAGTCTACTCTATTGCTATTTGAAAGAACATCTTTTGCATACATATTATATTCAACATAAATAATCAAAGGGACTACGAGATCGGGCATATAGCTCGTTCAGTGTCCGCGCCTATTTATCATTTTGCCAATAACAGATATTATTCCCTTTTGAGCGAATCTTTTGATATTTCTTTCCTTAGATTCGAGTACTAATAACAGTCCTTTTCTACGTTACTTTCATAACGAGCTGCAGTATATTTATGCATGTTATATAGCTTTAGGTAATTGTAATAAGAATAATGTAATACCATAGCAAATATGTATCCATTTAAAGATTAAATTAAGATTGAAAGCTATTAGATTGCCCTCATTTTCTCAACACTCCATTATTATTAAGTCAGAGTATGCTACTAAATCCATGAACACGCGTATATCTATTTATGGTAGTAAAGATGAAAAATGATTGAAGAATTGCAAAGTTGCTGAAGTAAATTTCATATTGGCTAAAATATAGATCGATTTAGTATAAAACGTATAGACAACCTTTCTAATTATACGTACGCTTAATTTCTTATAGCAAAAATTATAAATCACAACACGAAACGAGATTTCTAAAATATCGGAGGTGCAGATATTTTAATCTATCATTCAGTAAAGCTCCGCCTAAGACAAATAAATGTCGTTGTAATAGACCAAGTAAAATATTTATCTGTTTCAAATAATAATTACACATAATACAAGTGATGTTTATAAGTCCAATTGCTAGAATTTAACATTACGTTTATGGAAGCCAAATATAAATTAAAGATCTTGTGATTGGTACTGTAATTGTAATGAAAGTATAAGCTAGATACTTGGTGCATCACATATATAGGGTATTGGAAAATTGAATTTCTACAAGTAGGTCTTCTCATCCGAAGTATCTGATGCTTCAGGACTTAGTAACGCCTTAGGGCCTTCTGATTTTTTAGAGTCTTCAGACTGCATTGATCCTCCCTTTGGTGCATGATGTGAGAATTCTTGAAAGCTTTGAATTTCGAGTATAGTCTCCATCATTTTATCCATTTCTGTAAATATTCCTCTTATTCTATATCAAGAAAATAGTCAAATAGGTCATGGATGATAATAATATTATAGTAATCCTAGTACTTATTTTATAATCTATTCTTATGTTGAATTTACTGCTTCTTTTGCCAATCCAACTCTGTTAAAACTCGATCAATTTGCTCAATATAAAATTCCTCTACATCCTCCTCATTTTTAGAAGTAACTTCACCATAAACGTAAGCGTAGAACTAAAATGATAAAAAGATTTCATTCCAATTTAAAATTAGTCAAGATACTAACTGCTATAGTAGAATCAATTAATAATTATAAAAGCTGCAATTACTAGCAAGGTTTCCGTTCCTTTAATATCAAATTACTATTATACTTTACAACAATTTATTATTTCTATCTATTGATATCATAACCATCGTTTCGATCATGTTTGCACCTAATATCATGTAATACTTATAGTTTGCTAAATATTTCATATATGTATCTGTTAATTATTAACAAATGGGTACATTATCGTAAACCGTCAGCAAAGCGACGTGAGTTTGTACTAGTATCTCTTATCTATCAACAATGCTTACATACATTTCCCTCGCTATGTTAAGATTGAATTGCAACTGATATCCCACACTGGCTGCTTATAACTGCCCATAAGCATTACTTAATATTCTTTCCATTAATTTTACAAGTATTTTACATTAAGTAGCTCCTTTTTCCATCAAGTTACTCTACAAGTATTCTCCTAGCTAGTTTTACATTAGACCAATACCTTATATAAATATTTTTGGGTATTCCGTATATCTTTGACGCAGTGAAATTTTTTCCGTAACCATCTTGGTAATGATCGCTCTAAATCGTCTAAAAAATCAATCTGAATGCCTAAGCGCCTTATATTTGCATTTCTTTGAATTTTGTCGATATCTCCAATTGCTAAACCAATCTACATTTTCCATAAACAAATAGTTATAACCATTAAGAAAGTGTCAGTTTTCATTTTATAACTTTTTTGCATAATCTCATATATAGCAAATTACTTTTATATATATATATCTATAATATTTAAGCTTTTACCATTAAATTCATCAGTAAGATTGGCATGAGGAAGATAAAGATGACGAGAAAAGCAACGAGAACATAATTATCCGGATATTTAATAGTTCTACCACTAATAGCAGTCACAAAGACATCTTTGTAATCAATTTCTCCCACCATCATGTCCAAAACCTTAATCATAGCTAATGAAATAGTGCTAAAAACATCCTAGAATTATATAAAAGACTTTATACCTTAGTAATATTATCAATATAACGTAAGAGTATTATAAATAATATTGATGTGATGCTTACGGGATATAGATCATATTGTATGTAATATTATTCAATTTATTTTAAAATGTTTCTGCTTACTTCTGATCCTGCTAAGATTGTAAATGCAAATGCAAAGGCCACCATAAAAATGGTAAGAACAACGAGGATCTATGTTACCCAAAGAGTTTAATGATCCAATTGGATAGTTAATTATAATTTCAAATGAATAGTTGCAGGTTTGAAGCAGTCATTGTAGGTGTTAGCTTAATTCTAATATTGATTCAATTACCCGCAGAAAGGTCAACAGTACGGACTTTAACATGATAACATAGATACCTAAAGCAGATATCCTAAACGAAATTCAATCTCATTATGATTATAAAAGCAAATCTTAAAAATTTACTTCAATAGTTATGTTATTTATCAATTGCGGCAAAGTTTTTAGCTGATTAAGTAATTCTTATAGGCGTAGATAATATTTGGTAAAAATAATTCTAAAGGATACCTTTCCATGAAAAGCAAAAGGTTAATCCATGATAGAAAGAGTGCAAATGATCCAAATAGCCATTGCCAATCATTTGGAACTCTTCCAGGTGGAGTAATCAATATCAACGTTGAAATATACATAAATATTTCCATGTAGTTACCAATATTCTTAAAATAGGCAAAACCCTGTATTCCAAAGATCAGAAATATCAAACACTTTTCAATGCAGTCTAAACTATATCTTTGGCCCATTTATACCTATTCTTGTGCAAATTATAGCACATGAAAGTTCTATTTTTATAAAACTCTAATCGTTTAGATGCTACTTTTCAAATCAAATAATCGAAATAGATCAAAACAGATAAAGCTAATTTCTTTATTTTATAGATATTTCTGTTAATCTACTAAACGATAAGCAATTGCATACAAAGTTGACTTTCTTAGCAAAGCTTTAATTTATAGTAAAAGCATTTGATCATATCTGATTTAATTTTAATATGTCTTTTAAACCCTCATGACATTTACAGCGTGGGTAATGCTTCGATTCAACTTACTATCGACTATAACGTTGCAAATGAATTATAGAACATATACCCGTAAGGCAAATTCAAGTCCTGAAAACATACCAGTGTCAAGTACATGAATTAGTGCCTACTCGATTCTCTTCAAATTCATTGGTACTGTATAAGAAATAGTTATATTTACGACTGTTACTACATATATATCCATTTCAGATTCTATTTATTATTACTTCAGTTATAGTAATAGTAGTGAATGGGTTCTGTGCCCCCTTATAACCCTAAGGATGGTAGTTTGACCTGTTATCGTGCATAACGATAGGAACTTTAGCATTTCTTAAATTTTTGAACTTAAGTCTGCTTTAATGCAAAACTCATATGTCAAATTAGCGTCCCAATAATATACTTGAAAAAGTAAATTAAAAAATGAATAATCATCGTCTGACGGTTACTTGCAGGGGAGAAATAAAATTGAATGAAATTCAAAAATATTTAAATATATACTAGTTGTTTAACTTACCAAATGTAATAGTTGATAGCATTCCTTTAGTAAGTTGATAATAGAAAAAACGAGGACAGATACTTGAATAACTATATTGAACGGCCTTGGAACCTAATTGATCAATGTTTGCACATGAGTTACACTAAGATATCATAGTTTATAATTTACACCATTTTTGAAAATGATTTAAATTAAAGGCAATAATTATCAAAGAAGGTAAAAAATGTAACTTAATGAATTATTTTAGGTTTTAAGATGTCCTTATCATCCCCCAAAAATCGAATATGTATCATTAAAGCCAATAATGTAAGTTAAATTATAATCGTAGAAAAGATTCTAAAGATTATTTTACGGCGATTTTAAGATCTGCATTAGATAATATGGAATGCCACATTTATACTGCAAATATTGTTGGTGGCTCAAATTCTAAAAGTTCAAATGAAGTTAAATAAACAAATTGGCTATAGATTTGATCTGAATATAAGATAGAACAGGACATTATTGGAAATAATTACAGAAAATATCTGTGGCATAAGGCTCAAATAGTGCACATGATACGTTAATTGTTTATCATAGGTCATTATAGCTTATTTTCAAAGAGTTAAACGATAACTGCTGAAGTAAATGCTAGTACAGTAAATGGACTGTTTAGTTTCAGTTTGTGCCAAATTGAAATAAGATATCATAGTGAATCACTGTAGCAGATCCTGAAGGTAGTTTTCAATTTAAAGTATTTTAAGAGTGGCTAGAAATGAACTATTACAGATTCAAGTTTGGTGAAAGGAAGATTGAGATATCTTTGCAGTTCATTATAGTAGGATTTCAAGGGTATCCTCAAATTATAATCCGTAAGAGTGTTTTAGAAAAACAATAATTAGTTATACTGTTCCAAGTTCAACTTATGCGTGCGATGCTCTCAAATACTATCACAGATCATCTTAAGTGTTGATAAGTGGGGCTAAGATTATGAGTGCGAAAGGTAATTAGAAAATCGGTTACTGGCTATATGAATTGTGTACATACAATACTAAAATAAAGATTTATGCGGAACTATAGCAATTAAGCAAGTAGTTAAGGATATAATTCAATCAGCTATTGCAAAAGGTGTCAAGTAACTTTAGAAATCTTTGTGATGAGAGTACAAACCCGATCGGTAGTAATAGTGGAAAAAATGCTACTGTTGTCTGGCAATGTTATCGAAGATGTCGTTGGAGCGACTGTTACTGGAGCTGGATTAAAAGCCGAGCTAAAAGAATTATTCTTTGGACTAGCTTTCAGGCTGACGGTGAAATGAGTTAATAAACTCAAGTAGATAACATAGATGGATAGATTGGCGTAGAATACGTAAGCACCAAACTTTCTCCTATGAAATGGGTATACCGGAATTATATTTAGCAATAAGCGGAATGATAAGCTGATTTAAAGCTAAAACCGATTAAGGAGGAGATATTATTTATCCTCTTACCATTTGTAGTCTAGTAAGGCTTTTGATAGTTCATGATTCACTAAATTGCCTCTTTTCAATTTTCTCATAGTCTAAAATTGGGAAGAAATTATTATTCTGCTTGTTTAGTATGATAAATCATTAATTGATGGCATTCGAAACTACTGTGTTATCGAGATGTTAGAGTTGAGGAAAAAATTCATTCGTAAGCAATTATATGATTATGAGACGGTAGAATTGAAAATAATTATAAAAACAACCTTGCTAAGACTAATAGAACGATCTCCATATTTAAGCAGCTGCCTTAAAGCTGTAATTATAATTATCTGCAATTACCTGTACAGCATTGCAATTAATTGATGTCTTTTTGTCATCTTGATTTACTAAAAAATTTTCTTCTTCAAATGTTGGCCCGGGATCAATGAAAGAGAAATCGTATGTAACCTAGTAAGAGATATTTGCATACCGTAGCTTTCAGTGGCTAAATCAGAACTGCACACATGTATGGCGTAAAATTTTGTGAACAAGATCTTAACCAACTCTTTATAATTAGTTTATTTGACTTACTTCGCGACTTTGGCGCCCTTTAAAATGTTTGGATCGAGTAATGCAGCGATCCATGACCATCTAATGCACCATAATTAATAGGATTAGAATAGTAGAAATGATCATCATTGGTAATAGAATATTTATAAATAACTGTAAAAGTCTCTTATGTTGAAAAATCGTAACTATTGGATTATAATTAGAAATGCTGCATGGAGTTGAAAAATATTGGCTAATTTCGTAAGCATACCTGAGCTGCATCGGGAAGCTGTTCAACTAATCGTTGCATTACTGTTCTACCTTCTTCATCTACTTTCATAAATAGATCTTTAATTCTTTTTAGCATGGTAGTAAACAAATACTTTTGATTAATAGGGCAGCTTATAATATACCGTGTAAATTCCGGGGTAAGGATTGAAAATTTTAGGCTTTAATTCTTGTAAAGTTATATATCATTGGATATTGTAGCTCAAATTACTATTTTAATATTGAGTAAACAGATTGCATTTACTTTTTTTGCTTCACGATAGCCATAGCAACATTCTTGCTTTGATTTTCAATTGCAATATCAAGACAAGTTCTATTGTCATTATCATTAAGAATTTCAGCTCCATTAGCGAGTAGAAACTCAGTAATTTCAATGTTATCTGAAGTCGCAGCAGCATGTAGAGCGGTTTTCTATAGGGATATTTTAAATGTAACATTATTATATCAGATTTATAAAAAAATTATTATGAAAAATAGATTTAGCTATCTTCGAATATGTCAGCTTGAGAGTAGGAATTAAAGTATTTTACTTACACCATCCGATGCTCGATCATTAATAGCAGCATTATTTTCCAGAAGTATTTTGGTGATATCAAAATAACCCCTTTCAGCAGCTAATAATAGTGGCGTTCGATAGCTGCCATCTCTGGTAGAAATAAAGAGATTCAATAAATATACTAAGAAATTGATAGACGCGAGTCATCTAATACTAAGCTTAATTAAATATCTTGATTTTTATAATTGATTAGTACTGCTTAGAACATCTATTTTACGTACAATATTCAATCGTGGCTCAAGCAAATAACTAGTGGTAATTTTAATTCTATATAGTAACGCTGGCAAACGAGATTATAACTTCATAAAATTACCTTTTATTAACGTTTGCTCCATATTTGATCAAAAAATCAACAATAGGAATAAGATTATTGACGATGGCATGGTGAAGAGGTGTGCGTGAGCGCTCTCCAGGACTGTTTAAATGTGTTAAGCTTTTATCGCATAAAACTTTAACACTTGCGATATTAGCAGACCTATATGGCCATAACAGATAGATTGAGATACTGAATTAGAATTATGCGCAATTGAGGTAAATACAAATATTGAACTGATTTACAGCTGAAATCTACATAGACTGCATCTGCATAATTAAAAGGAAGCCATTTTCTCATATAATTTGGCAGAAACATCTTCAATTGTATTCTAATGACATTATTAGGCTACATCTTTCTTTTCTACCTTTAGATTCAGGTAGCATTAAAGTCAAGGCAAAATGCAGTCTATTTCATTTGGCTAATGATCATTTCAGGAACTTACTTGCATGCTAAATGGATTGGTAAGTTATCGTCTGCATCAGAAAATTCTAATCCAGCATCATTGGCTAGCAATAGTTCAATGATCTATCGAGAGAGGATTTAAAAACAAGAAACATTTAAATTAAAAGTTTTAACGTATTACCAGAAAAGGACGTGAGAGCAGGAAAAAATTTCATGTGCAAATATGATATTTAATTATCTTACTCTATGATGGCCAGCTTCAGCTGCATAATGGATTGGAGTTCTGTCTAAGCTATCTAAAATATCGACATAGCCTTGTCCACCATGCTATAAATATTGATAGAAATCAACACAAACTATGAGCTAATTCTGTAAATGCGACGATAAAGATTCTTAGTTCTAATAGAACCCATTCATAGCAACTTTAAAAGTGGATATCATCGTTCCATCACCTTAAAAATAGCAATTAGAGCTTCTAGATGACCTGCTCGACTAGCTAGATGTAAACAGTTTCTATTTTGATCGTCTACCACTGAAACATCTGCACCTTGATAAATTAGTTCATTAATGGATGATAAATTTCCATTTTCTGTGGCAACCAT